AAGTTCAAAGGTTCTTTTATGCAACAACAATACTTTCCAGTCTCCAAAAATAACTTTGATTTAGAAATTTCCCATAATCATGTCAATCTATTTATATTATCTTTAGAATTCTGAATATACAAATACCAAAGGTGTACCCCTGCTTTCTAACCATAGGTAAGATATGTGACTGTTCTGTACCTCAAATTCCTTAACTTCAAAATTCAATTCTACACACACACACACACACACACACACACACACACACCACACACCACACACACCCCATAGGTTATAGAAGGGATTATATGATTTGTGTAGAGAATAGCTGGACATGTGCTAGTCACATAGTTACCTGTGTTTCTCTCATCATCATTATTATTCCATTACCATGATTGCATTATTATGACATTATAAATGTTACACAATTTTTATTTAGAAGTAGAATATCCACATTCCATTGTAGACATAAAAGATGACAATTCTCATTTTAAGAATGGTTATGGAGAAAATGGTACACAAATTTAAGATAAAATAGATAAGTCACTTAAAATGGATGTTTAGAAAAAGAAAACAGGACTCTTTCTTCCTTTAAAACACATGTTTTCCCGAAATGACAGTTTGCAAATTGCTGTGAAACACACTTTTTAATTTGGAAGTGCTAACATGCTAGCAGTATGTTTACTCTCAAATAAAAGAAGCTTCAGAAATAAAAGCTCATGTAAGGCCAAAACAAGCAAACTCTACTTAGAAATTTATATGTTTATCTATAGTTATCTATATTCTCCTAGAGTAGATAATCTATATGCTTTTGGTTGAATGTTTAGATGTACTTTTGATATATATATCTATATCTATCTATCTATCTTCATATACAGATAGATAGATATAGATATAGATATGTTTAAGTGTGGGTGTATATCCAACAATGAAGTTTAAAACTCAAGAGTTCATATTTTAACCCAAACCCTCTTATCTCTGCTTATAGTACTGAAAAAAAAATCAGATTTATGGATGTGTGTACGCACAACACACAACACTGATTGTCTTGATGAGTTGCTGCTCTATAGACTAAAAAACAAAGAATTAAATTCAAATCCCATGTAAAGCATAATATTTACATTTAAAAAGAATTTCTAACAGTGTACCTCCTTATTTGGTTATGTTTATCATCTCCTTGACATGCTTTCTTGTGTACTGGAAACTTTCAAAGGGACCAAAACCAAACCAATCAACAAAACAATAAACCTCAAGAAATACTAGGGGAAATGGGTAAACTCTATGTGGAAGGCTAGGTAATCAGCCAATGCTGATTCTACTACTAAGAACTGAAAACATATTTGTAAATCAGGAAGAAGAGCTAATTATGGTGGGCTAAAGCAAAGTAAAAAGAACCATCAAATAAAGCTTGGTCTAAAAATGCCAGGTTTGGGAAAAGTTTATTAAAGAAGACAAGTTAAGTTTGTCTCATCACATTGGCCTTTAAAAAGTGTGCAGAAACCTAGAGAAAGGTAACAACACTATACTACTTAGGAGAACAAAGGCAAGTAACAATATCTCTCTTTTGGAAATTTCATCATAAGAGCACTAAAACGATATTACTGCTCTAAACAATCAGAGTATATTCTGATTTCAACTGAAGAAGAAGCTATATGACTATACAAATAATGGTTTAGTGTCATCTCTCTCTTGTGTAAAAATTTTCCTTCTGCTACAACATTTGCTTTATGTCTCTTTTTAGCTATATGTAGTAGGAGGCGAAATTATCTTTCTGTTCTCATCTTAAGCGTAACTATGCCCATCTTGGTCTAGACTCAAAGTAATTTTTGCTCCCATTCAATAAGGACTATGGTTAAATTAAAGGAAAAGAAAATTAACAGGTTGCAATAAAAATTTGTCTATCAGGGCAAAAGGATAGTAATAGTAGTTGAGTCATTTTACCCTTCTTCCCTAGGAGATGAAATCTAAAGAGGATCCTCTCCAAACAACAAACAACCTGCAGAGCTAGGCAGAACCAGCCTCGGAGAACTAGTTTAGTCTAAAGGTCTAGTTGAACAAAACATTTAGCAAAAAGTGGAGAAAAGTCAAAGTCAAATATTAGATGGCATGCGGACAACTTTAAATCTTCAGAAGTCTATGTGATTACTGTCCACAGTGTGGTACTTAAGGGGAGAAAGGTAAGTATTAGTAAAGGCTGATGATCCTCTATCTGGATGCATGGGACCAAAACTGTTTGGTATTTTGAATTTTTTTCTTAGATTTTGGAATATTTGCAATTACATAATGAGATATCTTGGGGATGGAACCCAAATCTAAATATTATTCATGTATGTTTCAGGTATACCTTATAATATACCTGTGGAATTTTCTATTTGTGGTATCATTTTGGCACTCAAAAAGTTTCAGATTTTGAAGTATTTTGGATTTTTAGATTAGAGACATCTAACCTGTACTATTTCTTTATTTTTTGGCTTGTTTTTGCAGAATTGAGAGACATTAAAAATACATTAAAGGGCTGAGGCTGTAGCTCACTGGCAGAGCACTTACCCAGCATGAGTGAGGCATTGGGTTCCATCCTCAGCACCACATAAAAATAAACAAATAAAATAAAAGCATTCTTTCCATCTACAACTACAAATTTTTTTTTAAAAGATTACATGAAAAATGCAAAATGTTAGAATAGGAAGGGACCTTGCTAATGCTCTATAATGAGGACAACCACACACTTATTCAGGCTGAACTAGAACAGAGTCTTCACATCTCTTTTCAGAGTTATCATCAATAGCTCTCCCCCTCCATTCTCAAAAATATCCTGATATAGATAGTTAATTATATGGTCTATAATACAAAGCTCTCATTTTACCAGGATGTAACTTCTCTAAATTCAAATGACCAAGATGGAATTTCGAGCTCTCTGAGTGCAAGACTCTTGTCTTTTTTAACTGTTTCTCTATTTCTGGCCCAGGTATGCAGGTCGAGTGCTAGATTCCCAAGCTGTTCACTTTATCATGTTACCTTCTTTAAGTACAAGGCTGATAATTTTATAGAAATAGTGCTATGGAACCTATGAATTTCACTAATGGGCAATAAAACATCACTACTTTTGAACTTCTGAAGTCACTGTAGTTTACAGATGAGGAAAACAAGGCTTTGAATGATTATGCAAATTATAGTCAACCATTATCTCCACTCCAAAGGAAAAATGCACTCATCTTCCACATCTGCTATAAATTTATTTTTAGCTATATGCAGTAGGTGGACAAATAGTTGTTTCCAACCCCATCTTAAGGATGAGTATGATCATATTGCTTCCAGGCTCAGTATATTTTTGCATCCACTCATGTATAAGTACTAGAATTGTAATTAACTTGCAAAGGCAAATATTAATATGCCATGGCAAGAAGTTTTCAGTTTAGAATTTAGGATGATCATAAGTTAAACCATCAATCTGTCATCTGTAGAAACTGAAATTGCCAACAATTTTCTTATGATTGATCTACTATTTTAATATTTAAATAAATATTATCAATAACTTTTAATCATAAGCCTATTTTCCATGAAAATAACTCTAATTATAAAAATTTATTAATATTAATAAAACTGGCCCATTTCCAAATGAAAATGTAGTTTATAAAAAGGAAGTAATAAACATGGGTAGTAGTGGAAGTTTGCATATTGAACTTACTAATATAGGAGATAACTTATGCCTATTCAATTACTCACCTAGTTTCAAAATGCGCATACTAAGGGCTAATCAGTAGGTAAAATAGAATTGTACAGAAACGTTTATGCTAAGTAACTGATACCCAATCATTCTTGAAAAAAAAAATCACTCAATAATACAAACTAGTACATGGATAATTTTTAACATAATTCTATGTTGTGCTTTTACCACAAAAGGGAAATATTTGTTTCTCTTTAAGAAATTTCTGATACTTTAAAAATTTATTTTAATGGTGTATATGTATATTATGACAAGTTTTTACAATGACTTCGAAGAACAAATAAATAAGGATGATGTATACACTTAGAAAAAAAATATATTACTGAACTAATCACTAATTTGTATTTAACAAATTTTATATTGCCTCTATATGAGACCATCAAATATTATTTTACTTTGATTAATTATTGTATCTTATGAATTTATGAAAAATGATCATATTTATGACAAAGTTGGCATTAGATGCATTATCCATAAACTATGCATATTTTAAATTATTTTCCAGAGGGCTGGGATTGTGGTTCAGTGGTAAAGTGCTTGCCTGGCATGTGTGAGGCACTGGGTTTGATTCTCAGCACCACATACAAATAAATAAATAAAATAAAGGTCCATCAACAACTAAAGAATATTTTAAAAAAATAAGATAAAATTATTTTCCAGTGAACCTGCACTGGCTGGGTTACTTCTAACAAACTCTACCAACGATCATTCTGGTAAACAACATATTTGCAAGAATCTTAACTAAGGTTAAGTATAGCCTTGATTACTAAATAAAAGGAAGGCAACTGGCCCACACGAAATAAACTTGCTTGTTCTCACTGCCTATCTTTTTCAATTATGAAGCTGAAATTTAAAAAACTAAATAAATAACAGAGTTAATGTGATTATAAATTCAGAAAACTACCATAAGCTATATGGTGATATAAATAAGAACATCATAACAAAATGTACATTAGAATGTAGTTTTCATGTTTGTACAATTTTGCACTGGATTATGAAATAATGAGACCCATTGTAATTCAACAAAAGAACAGACACTGTTAAAGAAACAAATATTTCCCTTTATTTGATTGTATTACATCTACTCATGGGATATTTATAATTGAAATTCTCAATTTACAAGTCTATAAATAATGCTATTCAACTGAAAACCAGCCAGTAAATAGCAACATACATTTGCAAAGCTTATTCATGGAAAGTGATTTCCATACCAACTCAGTAGATTAGAAATTATTAGTATTTCAGAATCAAAAGAGTAATGCTCAAGAACATTTTATCAACAATGAGTTTGCCTTACTCCTTTGCCAGCTGCACATTGGTAGGTTTTGCTCCAATAGGTATTCCATATTTGTGTAAAGTGTTAATCAAAATCTCCCTCATGTCCTTGTTGTAGGAATCAAAGTCAAACACATTCCGAACCACACTGGAAAGACCTTCAGTGGGGAATTTCTGTATTAAAAAAAAAAATAAAATCCTTATTATGTATGTGATAAAGTATACAACATTATAAAGATTTATTAAACTGATAGAACAAAATGCACAAATAAACTTTAGCAGAAATTTACTAGCCTGTTAGATTCAGAGATAGTTGGAAAACATACATTTTTATCCTTTAATGTTTGCTTCTTTTTAAATAAATACTAGAATTTCAGGAGTAACTGTTCCCACTCTTAAACATCAGGGAGAACTCAGAACCAGGTGTTCAGTGACTATACCTGCTTTTGGATCCCCCCTCCTTAAAATGAGTACCAGATGACCAATTTTAAAATACTAGTTAAGGCAGTGTTAATATGAACACAAAAGTATTTAGAAAAATTAGTCTATTAATAAGTGAAAAAAATAAAGGAACAATAAGGGAAGAACATAAAAAGTACAGTGAATAGAAAAATAGGGATCAATCAGTAGAGGGAAAGAAAACAGTACCACTACAGCTAAATGTACACTGGTGGTTCCTCTGGGTTCTGTAATGGCTCTGTTTGCATTTTGATTTTCTTTAGGTTCTGGGATCTAAACTGACTGAATTGGACTTATGATTTTATAGGTAGAATAATGATTTCTATTTTTCTTTTTGTTCTTCCCAAATATATTCTTTTAATTCACAGATAACTTTATATATTTATGGGATAGAATGTAATGTTTCTATAGATATATGTGTGTGTGTGTCTGTGTATATATACACACGCACATATATATTTGTTATGAAATGAGTAAATAAAACAAATTAACATTTCTCCCCATTGTCTCACTGCCTCACTCTTACTTCACCTTCCTCCTCTGAACCCTCCTCCACAAATTTCCTAGTTGCTTGGTGATGACCATGGTATAGAACTTTGCCAAAGCCAGTTCAAAGGCCTAATAGATAATGTTCATTTGTCTTCTACATTCACAACTTAGACTGCAGACACTTTGTATTATGTAATTGGATTATTTATAGAAATTAAAAGGCTTATTATAAATTATGTAGTCTGAATAAAAAGAGATTAGTGGCTTCTTCTAAACCTCTATTTCCAGGTGTGTGCCATACCTGTAAGTGTTTGACGATGTTTACTACTTCCCTGGTGGAATAAGGATAGCTAATAATGCCCTGGTCAGCCAAATTCCTCAGCTCCCCAAAGGCAGCCACAAGCTTCTGAAGGATGGCCTCAGGCACGTTTGGTCCATACTGTTTGAGCATCTCAAGTTCTGAGTGGGGTTTCGGGTTGTCAACTGCATGGCAGCTAAAAATGTCACCTAAGGGAGAAAGAAGATTCACATTTATCATGTGACTAATCCATTATAATGTTACTGGAAAAAATGCAAGAGCTGTTTGAAGAACCATTGGTTGCTCATCAAAGTATAGAAAGCCCATCCAACAATAGGATTGTAGAGAGAAGAAAGAAATGACTGAAGTAGAAGAAAACTGGGTGATGGTGGTTTATTTGGCATGAGTTTTTTCTCATTAAAAAATTACATAATAGGGGCTGGGATTGTGGCTCAGCGACTGTGCGTGTGCCTCGAATGCGCGAGGCCCTGGGTTCAATCCTCAGCACCACATAAAAATAAATAAATAAAGGTATTATGCCCAACTACAACTAACAAATAAATATTTTTTTAAAATTTACATAATACTTGAATAAAATGCTTCCTGAGAGATAACTGAAATACAAAGGTAAAGTCTCCTCAATATCTCTGCCAATGTCATTCCCTCTCTAAGAGGCACTCATTAAGTTCAGCGCATTTATTTTTCCAGATCTGCTTTAGTATTTTAAAATAAATGCATACATGCAAACAAATACAATTCCAGTGATTTGTTCCTTTTCCATTAATAGGAGTGTATTTTTCACGTGGTTCTGAGACTGCCTTTTTAATTTTTACAAGTGTTGAAGATCTTCAGAAATTATATATATTCATCTTATGTGAATGCTTTTTTAAATGTATTCTAAAGAATGGAAAATTAGTATCATTATGACCCTAACAAGTTATATAGTGTGCAGATTGCTAGAATATACCTTAGAGGAGAGTTTTAGAAAAGAAAACTGCAGAGATGTTGTCTAAATTAAAACCAAGAAATGGAATTCTAAATGCAAAATATTTAATCTGTTACTTATACAAGAAGGAATGAATTAGAGACATACATTTTATTCTGAAAAGAAGGATGAATTGTTCATGCTGAGTCATAAAATTCCCTGATCCATAATCTAAAAGAACAGGTATAAAGAAAATTAAAATAACTAAACTTAAATCATTTAAGGGGTTCATTTTAGAAAAAGAAGATACCTAGTCAGATAGCAGTAAGATCTTGCTCTGATTTAGAAACCATCTGAATAAAGTTATTGTTTGTGGGGGTAGGGCTATGTGCGTGTGTGTGTGTGTGTGTGTGTGTGTGTATTTAAAAGTAACTCAATTAAAATGAAAGCCATGATAACTTCTACTTTTATCACAAAGTTTTCAAATATAAAATGTAAAACAGTTTTTGCTGAAAATGAAATTTAACAATGATTTAAAAAGACAATTGTCTCCATATTTATTCATTCATCAAATAATTATTAAACATCTTCTATGTGCCAAGTACAACTCTAGATACTTTATATGTATTTACGTATTTAGGTATTTCATATGTATCAAAATTCCCTATACTAGTGAAGTTTATATTCAAGCAAAGGGAGATCAATGATAACTATTAGAAAGTATAAGTTTCAAAGAAAAAAGAAAGGCATAGTATAGGACAATAGAAGTAGTTATGGTGGTGAAAATCAACCAGGTAGAACTCATTGAGAAGGTAGCATCTAAGAAAATGTAGACACCTGGGGGAAGAGCATCCCACACAGTGAGTACAGCTAATAAAAGACCCTAAAGCAAAAATATCTAGCATGTGAAAAGAAGAGGAAGGAGAACAGAATGGCTGGAACAGAATGAGTGACAGGGAGAGCAGTTCAGAACAGGATAAGGCAGAAGGTCAGAAAGACAAGATGTGGGAGACATATCTCACAAGACATTATAAACTGTTATAAAGACTACTTATAGTCAAAGTAAAGTGGAAAGCCAGGGAGGAATTTTAACAAAAGAATGGACTGTTGTGTCGAGAAAAGACTACAGAAGGGTATTGGGATCTATAGCATTGTAGCATATCTTATTAGCAAAGACGCTGACTCCATTGACTATATTTTTAAGAATGTTTGTAAAGCAAATATCTTTCCCTCTGGAACAACATAAGGCATATTTATTGTCCATGATAAAACATTTGGATTACCTAACATTAAGCTTCCTCCCCGCTGCAAAGCATCTCATGCAAAAGCAGGAATCATTTGAGCCTCTTTGTGCTATCTTGTGGGACCTAGGCCTTGAGGAACTAGTGTAAATGCCAATCTGCTTTTGCTGTGAGTAATAATCCTTCCTTTTCCTCCGACCCAGGACTCCAGTATCTTCTTCCATAAAATGGTGGCAAGCTAATTTGTTAGGTTAAAGGCAGGTAGGGTAAAATCTTAGATCCTTCACAGTTCAAGACAAAAGATAACAGTGGAAACAGGGAGATCCACTAGAGAACTATTTCTCATAATTCAGATGAGAGACTGTGGTGGCTCAGATCAAATAATTATAATATGATACAGCTGTAATGTAATATAATGAATATAACATAATTCTGCATATATTTTGAGGATAGAGCCAATAAGAGTTCCTGATAGATGGTAAGAAATCAAGAGGAAAGAGAAAAGTCAAGAAATATTTTTGGGCCAAAGAAAATGGAGTTATCATTTGAGATGAAAAAAGAGACTATAAATCAAGAAAAGTAAATTCATTGTGGATATGTTAGATCCAAGATATGGGAACTATTGAATAGACAGTTAGATATCAGTGTATAGTTTGGAGACAGGTCTAAACTGGAAATAAAAATTTGGCAACAACAAGAGTATAAATGGTGTTTTAAAACATAACATGTTCTGATTTTACCAAGGCATGAGCATAGCTAAGTAAAAGAGAACTAACAGCATTATACCAAGCATGCAACAAGGAGGCTGAGAAGGAATAGTCATTAATGTAGAAAGAAATCAAAAAAGCAGCTGGAGGAGAATTAGAAGTCAAATACAAGAAAGTGCATTAAGGAAAAGAGGGTGACCAACTGTGTCAACTCTATTCAGTACTGCTAACAGATTTAAAAAGACGAGCACTGCAAACTGATCACCAAATTTAACAGTGGAAAAGTCCCTGATAACCTAGACAAGAATGTTTCTGTGGAGAGATGGGAACAAAAATCTTATAAGAATGAACTTAAGAGGGGCTGGGGATGTGGCTCAAGCGGTAGCGCGCTCGCCTGGTATGCGTGCGGCCCGGGTTCGATCCTCAGCACCACATACCAACAAAGATGTTGTGTCCACTGAGAACTAAAAAATAAATATTAAAAAAAAATTCTCTCTCTCTCTCTCTCCTCTCTCTCTCTTTAAAAAAAAAGATATTGGTGAAGGAGAAATGCAGCTATCAAGTATAGATTATTCTCTGAGTGTGAAAAACTGCTGTGAGGAGTGTAGCTAAAAAGGATAGTAGAAGAATCCAATAGCAGCTAGCAAAAACAGAGGATTAGAGGGTCTTTTTTAAGACTGAAGATATCTTAAAAGAAAACAAAGTTGATTGCTGATGGGAACAATTGAACAAAGAAGGAAACTGCTGATATGGGAGAGGAAAGGCAGAATTTTTCAAGCTCTATCCTTAAGAAAGTGGAATTGTGTACTCATCTGGAGGGACTGGCTCTTGATGAAAGTGTGAATGGTTTACCTGGAAATGGTGGGAAACCACAACACTATAGATGGAATGTTCAGGGGACACAAGTCTATGGATGTTTTTATTTTTTTCTCAGTACAGTAGGAAGCTAGGAAAAAATAATAGGCGTATGGAAAGCGAGTCAAGAAACTGAATCCTGGTTAGGTATGGGTCGTTCATACCTAACTGGTGGTATGGACTGGTGGGAAAGTGAAGAAGACCTCTCCTTCTATGTTTCAATTTCTCACAAGTGATTTCAATTTCTCACAAGTGATTGCAGAAGTATTGTACAATTTTAAAACAAACAAGAAAAATCACCCAGCAGGGTTAGAGCTGTGAGGGGAGAGAAGATCTGAATTACTTAGCTAAGAGAACATGAAAGTAAAAGAACTAGGAAGGCACAGTGTGATTGCAATAAGGGACACGTGAGGTCCCTAGTCAAGAAAAGTGAGGTTACTTTTTCTAACCATATTCAGCTCCATGTATGTATGTTTTCTAATTGGTATGAAAGGTTGTTGGATTTGGGGTACTTACTTAGAAGGAGTAACAGGAAATACTGGAGGTTTTGCAGTGATGAAATAAAAACCCAAGGAAAAGTTATAAATAGAATTATAAAATTGAGATTATAGAAGAGTTTCAGTAATTACAACTAGGATATGTCCATGGAAGTGAGTGGCTGAGGTATATTATGGAATAAAAATCACTTGAATAAAAACATCCAAGAAGCCCTGAAACCAGAGAGTTGGAAAATCCACATGCATTATACTGCAAACACTCCCAGAGAAGTTAGAGTGACAGTGAACAAAGAACAAAAAATCATGGAGAAAGGACAAGGAGGTAGACAACAGCAACAAGGGGTTGTAATAATATAATCTGATGACACAAGATGTAAAGCTAGGAACTTTTAAGGAAGAAACAAAGAGAATAACCCATAAATAGCAACAAGAAGCAAAGACTCTTTATTTTCTCTAGACCCAGTATGAGATACACACACACACACACACACACACACACACACACACACACACACACACTCCTCGAAAGGACTTCAGTGGAAGAAGTGACTGCAGGGAGGGCTAGAATTTCATCTGAGCCACAGCAGATTAGATTTCAGGATTCAGAGGAGGATGAAAGACAAAGACAGAATAGGGAATTAATGTTCTTATAGACATTAAAATTAATATGATGTGTGTGACCCATGAAGAAACTACATAAAAAAACTCAACCCTTTCACACTAGAAACAATTACAAGTTTACTTTAGTGTTTTCACGTTGCTACATTGTAAGAGTATCAGTAATGCATGAATGGGTAACGGCTTTTACAGAAATATCTATATATGGTTAAAAAAAAATAGTAAATGAACAAATTACATGTCCATTTCTGAATTTCAAGACAAACAACCCTCCCTTCTTGCCAGTTTTCTGTGTTAGGAGAAATTCTACACAAGTAAGACATATATGTGTATATACATCCCTTCTACCCTGAAAAGAACCTCAAAGAGTAAATAGAGTACCACTTTCATGACTTATTGTATTTGATTTGTTTCGTTTCTTGCTATTACAAACATGCTGTATTGTCTATACTTGTCCTTAAATCAGGTCAATTCCTTAATGTGGAATTACTAGGCCAAAGATCCTAAGAGGAGAATCACCCTGCCTCATGTTGAGTATTAGAGTCCAGAAATATATATTTGCCACAGAAAAGAAAAGTTCCTGAAGGTTATGATGATTAAGTTTATTCCAGGGCCTCTAATCAGTGTGAATGTGTTTCCTCAGAGTTGTTTTAGCCCTTTTCATAGTTAGGGAAATGTAACAAAAACAGACACTAAAAACATTTCTTATTTCATTCCAAAAAGACCTGAATGACATATAGTTTTAACATAATTAAGAAAAAAAGGCTCTGGAATCAGATTGACTTAGATATGAAGCCCACCTCTATCAGTCATTAGTTAATTGACTAGAGAAGAATAATCTCTTTGAATATAAGATACACAGGGCAGTTATTGTGGTACAGCATAGAGTAACCGTGACAGCCATTCCGGCACTGTCATTAACTTGTTATTGTTAATATTATTGTTAATGTGATTGTTATTATCAGCATTACTGTTTTTACCTAAGGTGCCAAAGAAATCATTGCCTAAGAAAGGAAATCCAGGTCTGTTGGCTAGAACAATCATCCTAAAGTCAGGATGAATCACTATAACATTTTCTCGTCCATCCACGTTGGCAGAATCTGAAAAACAAAATTTCCATTTATTCTTTATTGTTATTTAATAATTTTTAAGAATGTCAAGTTACTGACTTTAACACAAGTAGTCATAGTGACAACTGAATTGCAGAAAAAACTTGCTTGAAAAAGTTTGCTCAAGAACAGAATATTGATAAATATACTAAACTCTACAAGAACTTGCATATTTATGTAAATGTGCAACATATATCAAAAAGCAAATCTATCCATACACTGTCTTACAATACTGGCTTGAGATATCATTATTCTTGAAACAAATAAAAAAATAAAAATTTATAATGAGCTACAAGGAATACCCAAGGCTAAAATCCACACAATCTTTACTTTTTATCAGCTGCTTCCCTTTGCACAAAGCCTTAGAGTATGCAGCTTAAGATATCATTCTTGTTTAGGTCACACGCCCTACAACATAACTACATAAAATAGAGGTCTCAAAAACTGCCAGTTCATTAGTAAAAAGCTGACTTGTGGGGCTGGAGTTGTGGCTCAGTGATAGATAGTTGTGGCCTGTTTTGCATGTGTGAGGCACTGGGTTCAACTGACCCTCAGCACCACATAAAGATGAATAATTAAAATAAAGGTACTGCATCCATTTACAACTAAAAAAAATTAAAAACCCAGCTGACTTGTTTCCAATTAGGGAATTGTTTTATGCACGTGTTTATGGCATTAAAGAAACTAAATATTACAATCTCCTGGTTGGTGCACATTCCAGATAATGTCTGAGCTGCTAGTAAGAGCTTTACTATGGTTATTTTAAGAAGAACCACTTACCATCTAGGTTTATGTAAACCCTAGCCTTATGCTGTCCACCTTTAAAACATGATGGTTATGACACACCTGGAGTTTTGAGATGAGTCTGTAAGAACCTATACTTACAATCATTTATGATACCAAACAATAATCTTTCAATGTGTCATATATGCATGTGCTAATACAACCTATAGTTTTTTAACATTTATCCTGATTAATTTTAGTAAAGAAAACCAGAGGAGTATGGAGCCATAGGCAAAGTTTAATTATTCAATTAAAAGAAATATGATTAAAAAATGGAGAATGTTTTTTAAAAGCAAGGAAAATGAAAAAAAGACAGGACTGGAATTGATGGTTTATGAAGCTCCATTAAAAGAGCTTCAGGTGCCTTTATTTAAAATATCATCTACATGGCTAGCAGTGTACCTCAGCGAAAAAAACCCATGCTTAACATAAGGCTCTGAGTCTAGTGCCCAGCACCAAAAAAGCAAAACAAACAAAATATAACAAAATAACAACAATAACAAATTCTAGTCATGAACAATCATGCTTGAGTTTGGAAATTATTTTGCCTATCTACTTGTCAGTTATCCTTCAAAAACATATCAGAAAATGTAGAGGGTTGCCAGGAAATAATCACTCTTTAACTATGATTTTGTTTTAGAAAATCTTTCTTCCTATTTTAGTGTCCTTGAGATACCTCTAAAAAGAGCCGGCAGAATTCCAATCCTGAGAGTCTGAAAAGATGTTAAGAGAGAATATTCAGACTAACACAAATTCTTTTTTTTTCATGAAACTCAGTGTAAAATTAAAATAATAGAATGCTATTACTAGTCTGAACTGAGGTTCAATATGGCAACCTTACAATGGTAATGTCCAGAGGAACACTTCTATGATGGTCATCTTGTATCTTTTGAATGGGGTCTTCTTTACACTATCTTCAAATACTGCAGACTTTAGTTCTCCTAATTTGTTTGGTTACTAGGCTATTGGATATGTATTTTCAATGGCTAGTCTTTTCAGGAGGCAAAAATTTAAAATTAAAAGCTAGAAAATATTCTTATATTGTGTTAAACAAACTTAATATTCTCTGTAGGTTAAATAAACTGATAAGATTTACCCTTCTTCATTTTTTTCTAACAATAACAAAAAGGGTATGTGAGTAGGAACAAGAAGAAGACAATCCAAAACAGAGGAAAACTACTTCCTGCTAAAGAAGAGTGTGTATCTAATGTGTATGTATGTGTATATATATATGTAGATGTGTGTATATATATATATATATGTAGATGTGTATATATATGCATATAAATACACAAATACTTAGTAAGTATTTTATGTGTGTGTATATGTACATGTATAAGTCTAGCAAATGTTCTAATTATATTGAGCTAATAATAAAATAAGTCTTAAAATTCCAGATATTAAAGAAAATAAATAACACAAATAATGGAGAAATGAATTGATAAAGTATATATTAGTATTCTCAGGGTAGAAAAATATGACACTGATTTGTCCTAATATTACCACAGAAATTTTCAAAAATGCCTTCCTGGCTATAAAAAATAAAACTGGGGACTCAGAATAAGCTCAGTGGTAGAATATGTGCTTAGCATACAATAGGCCTTGGGTTCTATCCTCAGCACCTTCTCCCACAAAAAAGTAAAACTTATAAAGCTAGACTTAAATGTTACTTTTTATAAATAATTATCAACATGGACAATTTAATATATATTGAAATTATGCCTACTGCTTGAGTCCATACCAGAGATATAAAAATTACAGATATGACAGTAAACATTGCAGTTTTAATACTCACTTGCTACAATGCGTCTTCCATCTGCTAGAATCATTTCTCCATTTTCTACTAGAGTTTTCAAAATGCAAGTGACATTTGTTGGGGCTTTGTCTGCTTCATCTATAACCAGAACATGACCCATCTTTATTGCTTTAACCTTCGAAGACAGAAAACTTATCATAAACAAACATAAATAAATAAAAGTAAGCATTATTAAAGCTTCATCACTTAGTGCTTTGGATTTATAATAGCTAGTATTAAGTTATGGCTACACACTACCATACACACTCAAAATCTGCAGCACGCACAGCTAAAAACAAAATTTATGTATCTCCACCAGAATCTTCACAGTTACTATTTTACTAACTTCACAGGAATCCTTTAATTTACCTTCAGTTTAGAATTATTCCTATGATAATGATACCAAATAATATTTCATACCTAGAATAGGGGAGATGTACAAGAAGTATAATAAATAGAGAAATCAAAGTGCCATGGAATTTAAGAGGAGTTGAGACACCATAAGCAATTATTTCAGAATATTGCATTTGTTCTAGCTCTTAAAAAGAGTGTAATATTTTAATATTGTAACAGATCAGAATGCATGGTGCTGGAGATGTGGTATTCAAAACAAAAAAGCAAACCAATGGTCAAACTCCTGGAGCATATTTATTGAAGAGTGAATATGAGTAGTTTATATTAACTGAAATAGAAGTCAAATGTAAGAAAAGAGAAAAAAGGCACTAGAAGAGTAGATTGGGTTTCTACTACTAAGGAATTTGTTTGCCAGACCAATAAATACATACTTTCTCTCATTAAATAATGGGATATAATTTAATATTTGTGAGTTCACACATGTTGGAAAAAAACTGTGGAGCTACACTTTAGGATATTTAATCTGGCAGCCACATGCAGAATAAACTAAAAGGGTATTACTGTAACAATTTGTTTAAAAGAGTTTGTTTGGGAACCTGATTGGGCATCAGCATTAGAAAACAGAAATAAAAAGTGTTAGACTAATCTGAGGAGTTCAGCAGAGGTAGAAACTATAGGTTGGGCAACCATTTGAATAGTAAGAGAGGAAAAGAAAAATAAGAATCCTAGGACTTGAGTGACTGTGTGAATGGTGACATCATTAAATAAAGATAAAAGCTAAAAACTCTTAAAACTCTTTCCCCCAGGGGGAGTAGGAGAAAATGCTCAATGAATTTAAATGTAAAGACTGTTTTTAAATAGCAAGAAATATAACACTATGAACTATAAGTTTTTCTGACTGCACAATTGTGATGAATGATTTTAAGGAAATAACATCATTAAATAGGTGGTTTCTTTTACCACAAATATTTTATAAAGAATTGATGAGAGATTAAAAAAACCATTAAGGGTTATAAGTAAATTTTAGGGTAGAAAAAGAAAACGTGGAGCTTTTATCCTCAACCCCATCTCTGCACAGATAAAAGGAAAGTTGGGCCCAACCCAAATGACCTCAGGCAGGAGATCCTAGACTCACATCTCTGGGTCTGGACCACAGAGGTCCCATGATGGCTTACTGGTGCTGCAGTTGTGCAGGAGTTTGCTGCACAGGGTCACATGCCTGGCAGGCTGGGATTTCCCTGGGTCTCAAATGGGAAGCTGAGGACTGGATCCCCCCAGTTTCCTAAAACACTGATATTTGATTAGATAAAACCACTTTATTAGAATAAACCACCAAAAGAAAAAAAAACTTTTCTAGAAATATTACCTAATTTCAAACTATACACGTTTGGAAACAATAGCAACCTTAAAAAAAATTTTAGAAGAGAAATCAGTAAAGGACTTTTGTCATTCCCTAAATTTATGACTCTCTCTCTCCCCACCCCTTCTCTCTGAAAAGAGAACATAATTTTAGAAATAATATTTCCCAATAATTTACATTTAAATATCTGCCCCTAAAATAACACTTGAACAAGTGCATTCTAGTTAGTCTAAAAAACATTAGAATCTATGGGAGATTTCTCTACTTATTCAAAGGATGAAACACAGCTATCATTTAAAATATTTAAAATATTCATATGATTGGATTACTAACCAAAGGTGAGTCTTCATACACAATCAGTCCATCTTTAACTGAAGGCTGAAGAGTAAGTGTTTGTACTGTGGTGTCCCTAAGGTGAAATCAACATGTTTTATAGTTAATAAGGAAATAAACCAATGTTTGATTACAAATAAAATACCACACAAGAGAAGTTCTTTTAAAATTTTGTTTCACCATCCTGCTTTTCTGAATAAAAATAAAAATAATAAGTGAAATTTCATCCAGCAATGGTATGTTGTTAAATTAATATAAATTACAAGGGTTTGGAAATTAATCTAGGTTTATAGATTAATCAGGTTCTTCTTTTTCTTTTCTCCTTTATGATCATTTCATATCTCAGAATTACCTCCTGAGGATGAAATAGAGAAATTTCAAAAAATGTTTTATATTATATATAATATTTATGTTACTTAGAAGTAATCTCAGCCAGGTGCAGTGGTGCATGCTATAATCCCAGCAATCCAGGGGCCAAGGCAGGAGGATCACAAGATGGAGGCCAGCCTGGGCAACCTCACAAGACCCTGTCTCAAAATTTAAAAATAAAATTTAAATGTAGCTACACTTGGGTTCATTCCCAGCACAGAAAAAAAAATTATAATAATAGGATGGGCAAGTTTAGTAATAATTGGCATGTTGACATGGTCAAATAAATAAAGCAAGTCTACAAATTATATCATATAGCCCAATTAGCTATCACTAGGTACTAAAGCATGACTCACACCACTTCCAAGAACACTGAAGAATTACTTAATTGGATTTTAAAAATTTTGCTGGTTTTACAGCAATCCAATTTATTATCTTAAGCCACTTTTTCCTATTTATCAAATGCTCCTTTAATTGAGAATCTTCAAAAGTATTGATAGTGAGTTATCTTGGTGTTGTAAGCCTCTTTCCTGATGAGATATAAGGTCTGTATTACTTATGGATATTTTTGTTAAACATGCACAGAAGCTGTAGGTATTAGGCAGGTTCAAAGACTTGAGGGGATCAATTTAATATCATCTCCTTCTATATATACTGTATTTTTTAAAAATAAAATACTACGGCCAGCTGGATTAAGTCTCAGAGAATTAGAACTACTATTAAAATGTGAGTAATGCCTTTCTTTGGAATGGTTCAAAGTTGTCTTTTCAAATGACCCTACCATTTAGTTAAAATAAAATGTGAAGTTGAAATTGTATGTGTAAGACATTACTTGGAATGTGAACTTCAAAACTTGGTGCTATAATATGCATGTGAAACTCACGCCCAAATGCCAAATTTTACTACCATCTGTGAAAATTGTAAAATGTGTATCTATTTTTTTAAAAAAGTAATATCACATATCAATCAAAACCAAAGCAAATTTAACATAGCACTCAAATTTTTTTTAAAAGCAAAACAAATTCAATCGAAATTAGTTAATTGCTTTGAGAGGCAGTTGGGGTAGGAGAAAGAGGACTCTAGAGTCAGAATAATCAGTAAATTTTCCTTCTGGCTACTTGTTAGTAATATGATCTTGGGTAAGTAATAAGATCTGCCCAGAAAAATTGCTGAAGGAATGCTTGGAAAGTCTGTGGCATAGTATGTGGAAGGCAGCAGGAGTATAATAACATGCCAGCTTTAGTCATTGGTTGTTATTGTTATGGCTCTTGAAGTGACTGAGATTTCCTGGCCCAACTTCTACTTGATCTTTAGGCTTTTAGTATTAACAATACTTCTTCAAAGTCTCTTCCCTGACTCTTTGAAGACCAGAGTATGTGCTCTTGTTGTGTATTCCCTTTGACCCTTGATCTCTCCTATCTCAATCCTTAGTATACTATATTGCAATTATTTATTTCAAGATTTATTTTTCTACACTGATAGAAGATCTAAAATATAGAACATCTATATTATCCCACTTCTGTCCCCAGTATCTAGATGTCTGGCTTATGAAAGTAATTAAATAAATATTTGCTGAACAAATAAAATAAAATATGATAAAAAGTAAAAAAAATAAAACCTTACATTTTGATTTATAGTACAGAATACAAATTTATTGGATGATGAAACTTTTTAAAAAAAAACATAAAATCTGGAACCCACTCTAGTAAATGTTGGGTTATATTAAGGCTGATTCTCTTAGAGGAAAGGAAGAGTCCTAATTCACCTCTACTAGAAAGCACAGCAATGTTCAGAAGGTATACTTGGGTTTGATCAGCCATGGAACTGAGAGTAGATGCTTTAATGTCTATCCTGTCCTCCAGCTGAGTTGAATTTTAGACTTACTAATGTAGTGGGTAACTATTTTTTTTTTTTTTTTAACCAGGGATTGAATCCAGGGGAACTTAACCACTGAGCCACATCTCCAGCCCTTTTCATTCTACTTTTAGAATTTTGAGACACTGTCTCACTAAGCTGCTTAGGGCCTCACTAAATTGCTGAGGCTGGCTCTGAACAGGTGATCCTCCTGCCTCACTGTCCTGAGCGCTGGGATTACAGATATGTCCCATCACACCTGGCTAGTGGGTATTTTTCACGTCAAAGTCCTTAATTATCAGGACCTACTTTGGTATGTTGACAATATAATTATTGACATTTACAATTTCCAGATTACCTGCTTTGCTTATACCTAGCTTGAAAGGATTTTTCCTCTAACTTGAACAAATGGTAATTGGTTTCTTTTGTTTATTCTCTTGGGATCTGGCCTACTGCTATTCCTGAACCTTCTTCCAAGCTGCTAACCTCATGACACCAGCCCTTAGGGTACTTAGCACCTGTCCCCAAGATATACTGCTTCATACGCTTTACCAAAAATCCATTCCAAAGAATTATTCTTTTATCGTCCCTAAAAAAAATCAAATTAAAATATATCTAAAATAAAGCCCTGGGAAATGTTAAGGAAAGTGAAAATATGTTGTGACAATTTATTGGTATTTATCAACTTTTGGTATGGATTAAATATTTCTAGGACAATGTTATGATATACAAGCATCCATTTTCTGTACATTAATATTTATAAATTTACTGTTAGACATCCTGTATACTGCCTTTTGTTAACATATTAGTTTTTAGAGTTTTGAACTAATGAAGAATAGAGCTTAATTAACTCACTTAAATTCACTGTTAATATTCTAGCAATGGAGAAGGGGGTGGGTAATGAAAGGAAAAAGATGTGTTCACACAGATTTTTATAGCAATATAGTGAATTTCTCACCTCAATTCTCATATATTTAATGGGTAACAACATGATACCTTCCAGGACCAAAAAAGAAAAAGAAACTCTTGCATCATTGTCAGTAGGAAGGAAATTCAGTGTTACATTAATAATTATAGTGCTTTACACCAGATTAAGAACAGTAAATTCAAGCTGAATTCTAATTTTAAAGAGGCAAATGAAACTGCTCTATAACACTTGTATTCTGATAGCATACGACTTGTCAAATTAGATTTGAGGAGCTCAAAAGACTTTTGTGCTAGAAATAAAAACCATATGTTTGAGGGAACAAGCACAAATCAGATGATTTCCATAAAAGACTAAAATGAAGATAAATACAAATAGGAAACATGGTTTTCAATGGAAAAGTCAGCAAGAAAGAGGAACTTATGGAATAAGAGTGGATTTGTTCTCTTCTTATTACTGATCATTTCATCTGGCACATCAAAGAAAAAGCAGACTAGTAACATATGTGAAATGATACTGAGCTTAAAATTGGTTGGCTTGCATTTTGGATAGTTACCCTGATTATGTAAGGGTGAAAAACAATATACTATCTTCTGCATAGTATATAATACAAGAAAAAAGACATCCTATAAACTATGAACTTCAACTTAGTAAGGGATAAGGTGTTTATTGTTGTTGTAGATAGCATATGCATAGACTCTTAAAGACACTGTGATAATTCTTTTTAAAAAGCATTTCATTAAAATCATTGTTTTGCATTCATCAGCATCTTTAATAAAATAAATTAATTCTCCACACAAAAAGCAATGACATTAAGAAAATATTTTACTGCAAATTTTAATTCTATTTTGACTTGTTTCTCTCAAAAACATCTTTGAAATGCTGGCTAATAAAAATTTAGTCAATAATTTCAACTAAACTAAGGAGAAAAAAAGTTGAAACACACCTTTGTCGTATTATTTTTAGCCTAAGGTTTAATAAAGAGATGGTTTTAATTTACCAGTAATACTCGATGAATTAATTAGCTAATAGTTGACATTTAAGTTATTATCAATTGTTCCTATTTCTTATGGTATTACAAACTACAGATGTCCATCAATTAAAGCCTGTGTCAATAAAGGACTGCTCAAAGAAATATCACATTAAACTCAAAAAGCTAAACACCCAAAAAACAAATAACCAAATCAATAAATGGGCCAAGGAACTGAACAGATACTTCTCGGAAGATGATGTACAATCAATCAACAAATACATGAAAAAATGTACACTAGCAATTAGAGAAATGCAAATCAAAACCATTCTAAGATTTCATCTCACTCCAGTCAGAAAGGCAGCTATTAGGTATACAACCAACAATAAGTGTTGGTGAGGATGTGGGGGGAAAGGTACTCTCATATACTGCTGGTGGGACTGCAAATTGGTGCAGCCAATATGGAAAGTAGTATGAGATTTCTTGGAAAATTGGAAATGGAACCACCATTTGATCCAGCTGTCCCTCTCCACAGTCTACACTCAAAGGACTTAAAAACAGCACACTAGAGGGACACAGCCACATCAATGTTTATAACAGCACAATTCATAATAGCTAAACTGTGGGACCAATCTAAATGCCCTTCAATAGATGAATGGATAAAAATGTCACATATATACACAATGGAATATTACTCAGCAATAAAATAGAATAAAATCATGGCATTTGCAGATAAATGGATGGAATTTGAGAAGATAATGCTAAGTGAAGTTAGCCAATCCCCCAAAACCAAATGCCAAATGTTTTCTTTGATATAAGGAGGCTGATTCATAATGGGATAGGGAGCATGAGCATGAGAGAAATAGACGACCTCTAGTATATAGGGTAGAGGAGTTGGAGGGGAAGGAAGGGGGCATGGGATAATTAATGATGGTTCACTGCTAACCAAAGTACATGT